ATAAAAAGAGCATTTAAAATGATTTTAGGACATGTTATTCAGACTGAAATGTCTAGAGTAACCTCAAATATCTTCAAAAATTTACTTCCGGTCACGTGATTTCTTGTCCTCAAAATGAGAAGATAATATAACGGGATCTTTTAAACTGTAACAGATCAAGACACTAAACTTATATGAGTAATAAACCATGAAGATTGGGCAACAAATAAATGGTAAAATGCGCCCACCGTCACTTCCGGTCGTCACAGAAAGTGATAAAAAAAATTGAAAATGACTTTTGTATGTTATTAAGACTATAATTGTCTAAAGTAAAGTAAAGAATCTTGGTAAATTATACCTCCGGCCGTTTGTTTTCCTGAAATCATTTAAAATATTATATGCTTTTTTTTAAAACCTAGATAAAAGCTCATTCATGCAGACAAATAGAGGAGAACGGAAGACCTTCTTTGTTGCTGTAGCAACAAGAGTTTCTAGTTATTATTATTATTATTAAACATTTATAAAGCGCCCTATATATTAAACTCTAAGGCGCTGTACAAACAATATATGTAAAACAAATAGAACTTAAAAATTTACAGCAATCACATTCGAAAAATTATAAGTTAAATATATAAAAAATTTTTAAAGTGTCCAATAAACGTAAAAGTAGTAAAAAGATTATAAAAATTTAAAAAGTGTCCAAAATATAATAAAAGTCTTGGATACACAATTTATAAATCATAGGCCTTTTTAAAAAGAAAGGTTTTAAGCTTTTTCTTAAAAATTCCAAGAGAGTCACACTTTCTTAAATTCAAAGGCAAAGAGTTCCATAAAGTGGACGCCGCTTTGTCAAATCGTCTATTCCAATATGTCACAGTTCTTGTTGACGGAATCACTAAAAGATTAGCTGATTCTGACGTAGGGTACGTGAAGGTATATACGGTTCGATTAGTTCGCTAATATAAGTTGGAGCTTGTCCGTGGAGTGCTTTAAATGCATACACAAGAGTCTTGAATTGGCAACGAAACTCTACTGGCAGCCAGTGAAGGTTGATCAGTACAGGGGTTATATGATCATATTTTGACTTCGATAGTGTTATTATGCGCGCAGCCGTATTTTGTACGCGTTGAAGCTTGTCTGTAAGTTGTTTGTTGATTCCTACAAGTAAAGCATTTCCGTAATCCAGACGGGATGTAACTAACGCATTAACGAGCGTTCTGCATGCATCTTCAGTGATGTAGTTCCTAATACGTCCGATGTTTCGCAGATGAAAATAACATGATTTAGATAATGCATTGCAGTGTTTTTCCATTGTTAATGACGTATCAAAATATGTCCCAAGATTTTTAACAAAAGGGGTATTGTGGATGATATTATTTCCAAATGAAAGACTGAAAGCTTCAATTTCAACTGATCTGGTCTTAGGTGCAAAAATCATGAGTTCCGTTTTTTCCTGGTTTAGTTTAAGTAAGTTTACACTCATCCAGTTTTGAATGTCATTTAGGCATGCAGTTAGCCGGATGGAGATGTTATCCCAATTATCCCGGGGTTCTATCATGTTGTAAATCTGCGTGTCGTCTGCATAGCAATGGTAGTTCATGTTGTTTCTGTAGCAAATTTCCCCAATTGGTTTTGCGAACAAGCAGTAGATCCTGGGGCCAAGTACAGAACCCTTGGGCACGCCAATCTTGAGTGATTTTGGTCCCGATAATGTTGATCCAATCGATACTCTTTGTGATCTATCGCCTAGGTATGATTGTAGCCACTGAAGGGCTGAACCACCTATCCCGTAGGAGTATTCTAGTCGACGGAAAAGTATATCGTGGTCAATGACATCGAACGCCGCGGACAAATCAAGCATCAGTAGCACAGCATCCTTTGTCAAGAGATACCGCAATATCGTGATGAACTCTAAGGAGGGCAGTCTCTGTGGAATGAACCGCACGATACGCTGACTGAAGATTGTCGTGTAAAGTGTTCGAAGTAAGATGATCTTCGATTCTTTTTGCGACGACTTTTTCAATGATTTTTGAAACGTATGATAGGTTTGAAACCGGCCTATAGTTCTTCAGACACTTTTTATCTAGAGATGGTTTCTTGAGAAGCGGCTTAACTATCGCCTGTTTAAAATCCTCTGGAAAAACGCCTTCGGTAAGTGATTTGTTAACAAGACAGGTGATAATTGGTAGGACATTTTCAATGCATGTTTTCAAGATATTCGTAGGCATTGGATCCAATTCGCAGAACTTAGGGGCAGTTTTCAACACAATTTTTAAGACTTCATCGGGAGAGGTTCTAGAAAATTCTCGAAGCGGGCTTCCCACGAAATTTTTATCTGCCCATAGCGCGTCTTGTATTCCGTACTGTTCGTTGTTATGTTGTACAAGAGCCGTTCGAATTCCTAGAATTTTTGATTCGAAAAAATCGGCAAATTTATCTGACAGATTTGATTCATTGTCACAAATTGGTAAAACAATTTCTGATTTTTTCCCAGTTAATTGATTTGCAATGCTGAATTGTTGTTTTGAGTCATTTCCGGACTCTATTATTTTCGAGGAAAAATAGTCCCTCTTGCTTTGAGTAAGAAAAGCGCTGTATTGTAGACATTTGTCCTTGAATATCTCCTTATGCACCGCCAAACAAGAAAGTCTCCACGTCCTTTCCGCTTTGCGTTTTTCACGTTTTGCCTGTAGCAATTCGTTTGAATACCATTCAGTATTCGGGCGCAAAACAATGTTTTGGGTGCGAAGGGGGGCGTTTTTCTCAACAGCATTTCGAACACAATCGTTGTAAATATTCACCAGATCGTTTAGCGGTGATGTATGTAATACATTCTCAGATGGAAAATTAAGGTCACTTTTGAAATTGTCTATGTTCATTTTCTTATAGTTCCTTGATGACACGGTTTTCCGTTCTCTGGGTGGTTTTGAGACACATAATACCGTATTGATTCCTTTATGATCACTGTAAGACATTCCTCTGGAATCACATATAAAGCTCTCATCGACTGTCGGGGGATGTTTCAATATTTTTGTACATTCTCTCGTTATAACAACATCTAGTAGATGACCACGAACATGTGTTGGTGTTTTCACATGTTGAACGAGACCATACTCTGATAACGTATTTATGAACTTCTGCGTTGACATATCATTCATATCTTCTAGATGAAAATTCAGATCTCCTGTAATTAGTAGTTCTTCTGTATCGATCACATGACTACTGAGATATTCCAACCATTCGGTGTAAAACGAACACGTTGTTAGCTTATTAACTTTTGATGGAGGCGGTCTATATACTACACAGATCCGTTTGCGAACTTTTTAATCACCCCTCGTATAATTACCGTCTTCCTTGGAAGACGGTATTGTATAGTTGAAGTTTTTTACAGTCTTCGGACTATGCTCTTCCTCTCTTTTGTGATTGGTAGAAATTGCATGATGAGAAAATTTTCAATTATTTCATTGGTTGAAATGCTGTTCAAGGCAAGGGAGATAACTTTCTGATGATCTATTTTTCGTACGACTTAACAATTTTGCAAGATTTCCAATCTTAAAAAAATGACAAAAAGAACAACAAAATCAGCAGTAATTATTTCTTAATAACATGATATTTTTTAAAGCAATAAATAAAAAGGTCTCTTTAATTTCATTATAAATAAAAATTGATAGTTATTGCTTGCAGGCTTTACAATTTGTTATTATTCTTTTCCCCTTTCTTGTTTGAAGAATGAATGGGAATCAGCCGAGGTTTGCCGAAAGCTCTCGGCCAGTTTACGGAGATGAGCGAGCGACAACCGTGGTAGGGCTAATGCCCGTAAAAAGCTAATTTAGCAATACAACATCAAGAAATTCAAAAGAATTATACGGCCTATTAAGTATAGATCTGTTTACTGTTTAAAATTGTTGCTAAAGACGGTAAGCTTTTTTGAAAAGCTCTACTTGTATCAATGTCTAATTAAAGTGAAAGCTCAGTCGGTAGAGCGCTCGCTCCGTGATCGGGAGGTCGTGAGTTCGTATCTCGGCCGCGATGACCCAGTCGATAAAATGGGTAGCGACTGTTCCTTCGCCATGCGCTCGGCACTTTGAAGTGAAAGTTGCGGGTCCTTCGGATGAGACCTTAAAAACCGAGGCCCCGTGTCAGCGGCAGGCGTTGGCACGATAAAGATTCCTCACTGCTCAATTGCCCTGAGTACAGAGTAAAGGTCAAAATTTAAAGCCCTTTATCGGCATACGGTGACGTCTCCATATGAGTGAAAAATTCTCGAGAGGGATGTTAAACAATATACAATCAATCAATCAAAATGAGCTACAAGTACACGGTATATAATCATTTTTCAGTGAAAATAGCAAACATTTAAACTATTCCAAATATACCCCGGCAGTCTCTTTAGCAGTAGCCTTAAAATTGGCCTTATCCAAGTTAACAAGAAGGAGAACTCCAGAAGTGAATCAACCTGTAGAATACGAGTCAGTGAAAACATAGTCCTTCCCCCATACAGCGAAACGATAATTAGAGGCGACATTAATGGGGCGACTACCATGACTGAATGTGTTCTAGAACCCTGCAGTGATCAGCTGATCCAACGTGGAGTTCCTATTGCTAGATCTCTATTAGATGTTCAACAGATATCTGTCCCTCTGAGAGCTGGAAATTTTACAAATGAAGCTGTTACTGTAAATGAAGGCACTTTTGCAGCCACGGGTGAAGAAGTTGACCATACAAAATCCTCTGACCTGAAATTACAAAATTTCTTTCAAATTAATCAAGGAGTCACTGAGACGACGGATGCTGATCTCGGTCTTCTTAACACCTAGTTGACCTCTTGCTTCTTCTAAAAACATCCTGAATAAAGAACAAAAGTTACAGTTCAAGAATTTATTACTTCGACATAAAGATGTTTTTGCAAAATCAAAATGCGATCTTGGTGTTACAATTCACAAAGATTCTTATCCCCTTCCCCGTATTGACGACTCATTAGATGCACTCAGAGGTTCAGAATGGTTCTCTACTCTTGATCTACAAAGCGGGTTTTGGCAAGTCCCCATAAAAAGCTGTGATGCTGAGAAAACATCCTTTGTCACTAATATCAGCTAATATCAATTTAAGGTTATGCCTTTCGGACCACACAATGCCCCCGCGACTTTTCAGCGTCTTATGGAATGTGTTTTATGAAGTATTTGGAGATAAATAATAGTATTCCGTCTCAAAGTGGACTAAATTTCGAGATATGTTTGTTGTACATTGACGACATCATAGTATTTTCTGAAACTTTTGAGCAGCATATTGAGAGACTATCTACTGTTTTGAATAAATTACTAAGTGCCAATCTTAAGACCTCCCCAAAGAAATGTAGTCTATTTCAGAAGCAGGTTTCCTTTTTAGGACATATACTAGTAGTCATTCCACATGGCATATCTACTGACCCCGAGCTATCAAATCTTGGCCGGCCTGAACCTAAATCTATCAGTGAGCTGAGAGGTTTCCTTAGTACTTGTGCCTATTATAGACGCTTTATGAAGAAACCTAGATCAGTGAATCGGTTACTAGAAATAGATTTTTCTGTGAAATTACTTTAAAACGCTACTCCTCCTACAATTTTGGTCTGATTTTGATACAACTTGGCACACAAGTAAACTACAAGAAAATACATAAAATAGTGCACTGGTTTTTGATTTTAATGAACAGTGTTGCCATTGTTACTAAAAATAGAAATGCCTGTGAAATTCCTTTATAACGTTACTCCTTCTACAGTTTTGGTCTGATGGCAATGGCTTCTTTTCTCATCCTTTGTTATAAGTACAAACCAGTAGAGCTACAGTCTCGACAGAGATTTCTGGTTAATTTCTGGCACTCGAAATAATAACGTAAAATCCATTATTTAATTCCTCTATATAATTCAATAGGGGATGCAGTGTTTCCGGTTTGGTGAAGCTACCAATACTGCAATCGGCAATCCTCGGGTAACTCCGCTCAATCTCTCACCAAAGGTCGTTTTTACACTCCGCTCCAACACCTCTAGCTGTTATCGTCTAAATTACAAGAATCTTGTAAAACGAAAATAAACTATAGATTCCCACCATTGAAGTTGGTAATTTTTTGAAATGATATTAGAAATATTAATCTGTAGCAATTCTTTTTTTCTTTAAAGATTTGGATATATATTAAAATAACTTCAATATATACGGCACTATTTTTTTTTGAATTTCTACACACCGTTTATTTTGAAAGTAAGGAGACAACGTTAGAAAATATTTACTACCAGAGAGCTAAAAACACGGTAACATCATTAGCAAAACATACAAAACAATCAATGTTTATACAATTTTTTTCTCCCTTTCTTATAAGTAGGAGCTGGTAGAGCCACAGTCTCGTCAGATACTTCTGGTTTCAATATTTTTTTACATGGATATCAAGTGACCACAATGGATCTAATAGAAATGCAACGATCCCTAATACAAACCTTACACTATACCACTCCAAAGGTGTTTACAGATTATGTTATTTATTTTTAGGTTGAAAAAGTTGCACACTTCATGGACATTTTTTTTCTAAAAAACTTGATGAAATCCCGCGCAAGCGCGGCGAGTTTTTACTTACAACCTACCGCTACGTGCAGGCTTATATAAGAAAGAAATACTTTGTTCAAAATCCAGCAGGAAGTAGATGTACGTTTTCACCCCACCCCCTTGTTAAAAAAATAAAAATAATTTCAACTAGATGTACTGCATGTGAGCAACGAGCTCACTAAATGATACCCCCGTCTCCCATTATGATTACAATGACAAAGTCCCTGTTTTGCTCTCAGAAACCAGAATTAAGTGTCGGATGAAAAAGTAAGATAGGAGGTGCACAATGGCATTATGTTATTAAGAATCTGTAAGCAAAACATGGACTTTGCCATTATAACAAAATGGGAGGCGGGGATCTTCAGTTTTACACCCCAGATTAAAAGCAGTTGTGCATTGATTTGTGTTTAAAGATTTAAAGGAACAATGTTAGTACAATTTCACAAAATAAACCGTGGAATAAAATAAGTTTTTTATGCCCTCGTAAACGAAGTTTCGGGGGTATATATTTTTGTCGTGTCCGTCCGTCTGTCTGTCTGTCTCTCTGTCTGTTTGTCCGCAAAAACTTTAACCTAGTCCATAACTTTTGATTTAGTGGAGCTATGACCTTCATATTTCACATGTGTATTCCTTGTGACAAGACCTTTCTTTGGATACCACAAAATTTAACCTTTTGACCTTGACCTCGTAGTTCGACCCAGTTTTACACAAAGTTTTTTAACTTTTACTTTGGCCATAACTTTTGAACGGTAGATACTAGGACTTTCATATTGCATATAGACTTTCATATTTCACATACCCCGGTATGTATTCTTTGTGGAAAGACCTTTCATTGGATACCAACAATTGTGACCTTTTGACCTTGACCTTGGGGATTTCGGTATTTATGATAAATTTTTCATATGTTATTCTTGTGAAAAGACCTTTTATTTGACACCAAGAAAAGTGACCTTGGAGTTTGACCTACTTTTAAAAAACAAACTTTAACCATAACTGTTGAGGAGTTAGGGCTAGGGTTTTCATACTTCACATATTTAATCCTTGTGACAAGACTTTTCATTCGATATCAAGATCTTTGACCCTCTGACCTTGACGTTGGAGTTTGACTTTCTTTTTAAAAACTTTAACCTTGGTCATAACTTTTGAACGGTAAGGGCTAAAGCTTCCATACTTAACATATGTAAAAAATGACAAGACCTTTCTTAAGAATCCAACAACATTTTTCCTTTGACCTTAGAGTTTGACCTACATGTACCTTTCAAAAACTTATCCTTGGACATAATTTTTTACCTTGACCTTCACGACTGATTTTGTTTTTTAAATTCAACTTCGGTGATAATTTCTAAATGACATACACTGTATGATAGGGCGTTCATATTTGACACAGTATGTTATAAAAAATGACATCTCACTCACAAAGACACCGAAAGCGGAGGACCACAATTCTTTGAATTTGCTTGTTTGTCCTCTATTTCCGTCATGTATTCTATGATACATAGTGTAAATGGCTTTTGCTATCATTGCAAGACACCACAAATCACTTCTTATTTCATTTCAT